TTTCACGTCCTTGTCCACTGTCCTTTTGACTTTCTTTAATCATTTTCATGACATATTTCTCTGTGTGTCTCAGTGAGCATTAAGAAGCGAACCGTCCTTACACAAACACACACGTAATTATTAAATATTAAATTCATTATTTTAATATATTATTATTTATTATTTATTTATAATTAATAAATTTATTATTTATTTATAATAATACATTTATTATTATTATTATTATTATTTATTATTACGGTAAATGTATTACCGTAATTTCCGGAGTGCATTTTCATTATGCAGTTGCACTGCCTTGATTTTATTGAAGGTTTAGTTCACAGTCATAGCCATAAATGCAATGGTACAAATAATTGGCATAATCATTGCTTTCGATTTTCAGTTTTCGACCAAGAATTGTAATTTCCGGTGCGTCATTAGTGTTTATGTCTGTACTCCTGACCTACAGTCATTGACTTGGTCTGGCTTTCACGCTTTTTCGGCTGCATTCATTTTTCTTGGTGTGTTTAGGTCCCGCTGACTGACATACACACACACACACACACCTTTTGACTTGTCATGTGACTGTGTTCATTTCAGGAGTTTTTTATTTTTCGCCTTTTTCCCACTGCTCTTAAGAGCGCCCCCTCTCTGTACTTTGGTGACATTAGTTCCTTTTGTTACCTGTTTTCAGGAACTCTTGCTGTTTTTTTTTTTTGTCTTTGCAGTGGACTACGAGTCCATCTCTTTACATGGAGACATGGACTCCATCTCCCTACATCACCTGGCCCACCCCAGTAGCCAATCTGACTTTGACAGGTCCTCTACCATCCCTCGGAACTCGGACCTGGCTCTGCAGTACAGAAAGTTTGCTCAGTCCAAACGTCCGGCCTCGACCGTCAGCCTGCTTGCTGACTCCGAGCTGATGGGGACCTCCACCGTCCGTCAGCTGCAGTCCCACACTGCCACCATCAGACGCAAGCCTTCGTCAAAACCGCAGTACCGCCGAGGCACCATCAGTGGCGGCGTTCCCATCCCCATCAGTACCCCACAGATCCCGCTCAAGGCCCTGGCAGGCAGTGGTGGCAGCGACGAGAATGTTTTCGCGGTGCCCCCTCCCAGAGGAGGAGGATTTGGCCACAATAAGCTCTGCACATCCACCCAGAGCCTCAGCGCCTTACCTCCGTCCTTCCCCTCTTCCTCCTCTTCCTCTTCCAACTGCCCTTACTACCAGTTGGTTCCAGGTCACATGCCCATTCCAGTGCCAGTACCGACTGTGCCCTCTCTGCCATTAGAGGGCAGCAGCAGCGGCAGTGTCAAACAGCAGCAGCTCAAACCTAACCATCAACCACTTCTTAGTCGGCAGCAACAGAATGAACAGCAGTTTCAGCATCAGCAGCAGGACCAGCAGAGGAAGCAAAAGCTGTTCCAGCAGCAGCAGCAGCAACAGCAACAGCAGCAGCAGCATGTTCCGCCTTCTACCGTCAATGAAGATAGCATCTGTCTGGGCCACAGCGGTCAGTACCAGCCCCAGGCTTCTCCTCCCACCAACCCGGAGCAGAACCTGCCAAATCCCAGCCAAGAGGGAGAAGGAGGCGGAGGAGACGGAGGAGACATGGTCACCCTCATCAGGGGGGTGAAACTCAAACGAACCATCACGAACGATCGCTCCGCCCCTCTGCTGCCAACTCCAGCCAATCACAAATGAGGCTAAATTAGGGGGATTTTGAGCAGTTGGACCTTGCCCCAACAGAGGTGGTCCAGTTCCGCAGGGCATGGGGTGTGGACGAATCTGGTTAAACCTTCTGCTACAGATTGTGACTTTTGATCAATGGAGACATTTCGTAATGCTGTAGAATTTGTTTTTGTTTTGTTTTGTTTTTTGTTTTTTTTTTCTGCTGGTATTGTTCAGTCATTTTATTTTTGATGTATATTTGTGTTTTTTGTCCCATCATCCAATCGAAACTATTTGACTTAGCTGAAAACCTTCACTGTGTAATTTTATTTTATTTTATGTCTTAAAGGGACAGTCAGGGATTTAAAGTGGCTTGTTTCTAGAACTGTACCGAAAAGCAGAGAGTAACATGTTTGTATGTAAGAGTTGTTGATTTTACCGTGACCTCCATCAGTTCTAATGTCTTATGTTCAGTTATGATGATGTCACGTTGTTCAGATGGATCTCATTGACACAAACTGACCACTGGAGGCAGCAGTGGATGAGCTTCCTGTGATTTTTTTTCTCTATGGACTTTGGTCTGAGCTAAAATCACTGATTTTCTCTATGAAGTTTGGTATGGGGGGGGGCAGTCCTATGATGTTGGACGTCACAGATGGGTTCACTGGTTCCAGAACATCTCAAGGTCCAAGTAATGGGTTCTGACCCTGAATGATAAATTCATTTAAGAAAGGGGGAAACAAATACAAAGTTCTACTTCTTGACTGAGGTAGGTCCCATAGTTTTTTGTTTTTTTGTGACCCAATTGACTGAGGTAGGTCCCATAGTTTTTTTTGTTTTGTTTTTTTTGACCCAAACTTACCCACGAACATGTGGTGGGTCAGACTTTATGTTTTGGGTTTTTTCTGCCTCTCGGACCTAAAACTGTGACAGAGTTCCAAATATTCTGCTGGACTGTGAAGTTCTGCTGGACTGTAAATACTAATGTGCTTGTGATCATTAAAGGATGCTTGAGGAAACCAAAGTCTGAGGTGAAGCAGCTGAAAAGTTCAGATGTGGACCCACACATGTGGAGTCATCGTGAATGTTCTGCTGTGTTCTCCGTCTGTAGAACCGGTCTGCCGTTGAACAGAGACTTAAAACAGTTCCGTTCTGTTTTTGTTGAAACAGCAGTATGGGAAATGACTCCAGATTCTCTTCACTCTTGACTTGAGCTGTGCATGTGTGTCTTTGTCTTTGTTTGTGTGATTGTGTGTGTGTGTGTGTGTGTTCGTGTTCTCACACTGATCTCTCTCTGATGTTCTGGACCTCAGGCTCCAGCAGCTGGTTCTGTCTGGACCTGGTCCCACCATCTGCACGCTGACCTGTGACGTACAGATGTGAACGGCTGTCATAGTCTTACCTCACCACCAGAGGGCAGTGTCTAACCATACAAACTTTCTAATCGGATCAATAAAGAGTCGAAATCTTAAACTTTCGAGTTTTCTGACTGACAAACTTTTCTTCCAACTGTTATTGAATGTTTTTTTGTTTTTTTTCCTTTCCCTTCAGCTGCTGTTGGTGCTGATTGACGCAGTCACGTGATCCTTAGAGGAACAGCCTGGGCCTTTTACACACAATTACATTGAGTAATTGTCATTGTACATACACAGGGACATTTACAGACACATACAGTAAAATTACATTGAGTAATTGTCATTGTACATTTGCAGACACATACAGTAACGGGCTTTCTCAACACACTGCAGCCGGCTAAAGTGGGATTTAAACCTGAGACCACTTTAGCCGCTGATCACAGTAGAACCAAGGCTAAAAGAAAACCCATTTCAACGAAACGCGACACGTCGACAGAGGGGGCTAGGCTGAGATCAACTCTGTTGGTCATTGGACACGCGCGTCTTTTCTGTGTATTTAAACTGTCCCGTGGGGCAGTGGACTCTCTTGGGTGCTACTCTTAACACAACATGGCTCTGAAAAAAAATGATGTCCGCACACACACACCCTCACTCATTGTTCCACGGATAATGTTGGTGTCAGAGCAGTGAATCAGACTGACCTAGATGCTTATTCTGTGTGTGTGTGTGAGTGTGTGTCACTGACTCACAGTGACTCTGCACAAAATTCAGCCCATTTGTTTGTTTGCCAACGTTTGTTGCACCCGTGTTGCACCAGCTGCGGTTCCACTTACTTCCAGCAGGAGGAGTTTAAAGACTTAGTTTACTAAAGTGAACACTGGGCAGCTTTAAGTTCCCGGGGGAGCAGTGTGAGGGGACAGTGCCATGCTCAGTGGTAACTTGGCAGCTGGTGGACTCGAACCTGAAACCTTCCAGACCCAAGTCTACTTCCTTAAACCACCACTTTAGATTTAGAACATCTGTTTTAAAGCATTGTCATTCCAGGATATTGTTAATATTAAATATAAAATTATATTTTATTTTTTCGTCTTTTGTATCTTTTGTCTCTTTTTTAATTCAACTTTACCACCTGAACTCAGCTCCTAGTCCCACGTTTGGTCCCGGACACCTCAAAAAAAATCTGAACCTCTGATCCTCATGGACCTGAACTTTAAAAACAAATGAAATGTTCACCTGTGAATCACTCTGAAACCAAGTGTGTGGTGTGTGAAAGACTAAGACTAAGGTTTCCCTCAAAACAAAACTCTTTTGGTGCTAAACCTGAGGTACCCAAGCCTCGGAGGAAACACCCTGCTATCATATGACCTTTATAATGTTCCTACGTTTCTACAGAACAAAGACTGCGACCCAAAAACCTGAACCCGAGCCTCTGTCTTCACATCTACGCTGCTGTGTGACTAACACGTTCCTTAGCTAAAACTGTCTCCGTCATCCTGTCACACAGTTATTTGGTCCCTCAGTTTCAGAACCAGAAACAGAAACCTTTTTAGTTGAACATTTGATTTTTAAGTATTTTTAACGTTTCTATTCCACAGCAGGAGTATTTATTCATTTATTTTACTATCTGAGGTGAAAAAAAAATTGAAGGAGGTTCAGGTTTTAATATTCTTCTCATGTTCTTCTGTTGTTGTTCTCTGATATCAGTCTCCCGGGCTGTTGAACCCCCTGCCGTTGCAGCTGACGTTCTGTTTACACAGCCGGTTGTCTTTCCTGATTGGCTGTTGTTGAGACAACAGCAGCCATGTGAACGGCTGTTGTTTTTCCTCATGTTCTGTTTCTGCTGGAGTCACGAGGAGCAGCAGAGCCCGCCAAAAATGCATCAGCCAATCAGGAGTGGAGGAGGGGAAGAGCCACACGAGGAGCTGACAGAGTCAGAGGGTGGGTGTGTGATCACACTGCAAAAAAATAATGGGTTCTCTGGAACCAGAAGTTTGACAAAATTTCCCCCAGATTTTTTTTTTTTTTTTTGGTGTATCAGTATCGTAGTGACCACACGGGGCAGCAGAAGTGCAGCATCTCCTATGTCTGTGAGTAAAAACAACGGTTTTTAATAGCGATGTGCGGATCGATCCCGAAATATCGATACTTCCGATCTCTGGATCTTTATGCTCTGAAATCGATTCCGAAATCAAAATATCGATACTTTTGATAACTTACGCATTCTGAGATGAGGTGTATCCTAAACAGAAACATGGTGAAAAGTATCCAAATTATTGAGATGTTGT